TCCCACAACACATCCGCATTGTCAAAAATCTGAAACGGTTAATATAACTGAATTTGGAACGCGATTTTTTAAAATAAAGAGTATTCCTACCATATATCTAGTTTCAGAATCTATTTCGCATATGTCCTGCAATTCCACAGCAAAATCATTGATATTTTTGCAAGAATATTGTTTTCCAGTTAAATTATTCAGCGTAATTCCAAATAAATCTTCGATAGAATAACAAACTCTGCAATCAAGAAAGGAATATTGTCGAGCTGTGAAGCCAAGTTTAAAAAGTCTTTTAATTAGTTCTGTCTTTCCGAGCGCTCTATTTCCGTGAATGAAGATCATAGGTGGTGTCTTTTCTTTTGGCTATTTGGAATAAAAACTCACTTTTAACCGTTTTTTCAAGTTCTTTAAGACACCAAACCTGCAGAACGACAAAACCACATTACCGTGCCAAACCAATTCAATAATGTTTCAATTTGACGCGTTCTTCCAGGGAATTCTTCAAATAATACGTTTTTTAATTGCTGCGGTTCTAGGGCCATGGTCCTGAAATGCAAATTTTCACGAATAAGTGTCGCCGAACAAGTAAGTCGCGCTCCTATAAGATATTGATGAAATTTGTTTTGTCGTTGGCTGACATTGTGCAGCTGCGTGGAACTTTTCAGCCAATCATTTGTTCGCATGATCCAATATCGATGCTATCGTGCATGCTTTATAAGTCATTTGGCTAACTGAGTTTCAATTTGAGATACAAAAATAACAAGAAAAAAATCTATCATAAGAGTTTGCACGATAAATCGTTAATATCTAGAGGACATCACGTGGGATAACAGGATTAACTACAGAACTAAAAAAATCGGCCTTTTCGACCTAGTTGGTCGGTATAAGGAAGAAAATTCCGGGTTGGAATGGGTTGGCATTAAAGCAATATTAGCCAACCCACGATATGGCAAAATATCAGCTGGCAATTTTTTTTACTTAATGAGTGGCTATGACTTCATTAATAAGTTTTTAGTGATCTTGAGCAATTCTGGTCCAGCCGACTAGGGGATCTTCCAAGTAGCGTTACAAGCCACATGGGTTTTTTTTTCAGTTGGCTTAGCCAGCCGATTAAAAATGTTAAAACATTAAGGCTAACTTTGTGAAATTTCCAGGACTTTCCCAAAAAATTCAGCTCGACCTTGTTCGTATCGGCATTCTATGTTCATTTATTTTCTCTTCAGGAATTTATTACTATTTTATTATCATGGGATTTTTTAGCCGCATTACAGCATTAGCCAGTCGACCATACTATGACTGGCTTAGCCGACTAAGCAGACTTAGCCGCGGCTGCCTTAGCCGGCTTGTAACACTACTTCCAGCTGATCTTCCTGTAGGAGTTGGATATCACTTGGTGGTGACATTTTTTAGTTGACTCTGAGAACACTAGCTCTATTATTTTTTGTTATTTAAATATAAACAGTCTTATTCACTTCTATTAATATTAAAAGCTTTTCTTTTATTTGTTAAAAAAAAAAAAAGCAAAAAAAAAAAAGCAATTTTGTTAGTAAATTTCAATATACCGGTAATCTCTATACGTATACAGAAATATATTGTTCGAGGTCCTGGTAACACTCTAATGTAACACCCCCAGTTCGGTGCTTAAAAATCAACCAATTAGATCGCACTTGGCAATACTACAGCATTCGATTTCGTGCCCGATAAAATAATTAATACGTTTTAAGTTGATCATATACGTTAAAGGATAACGATAACTATAACGTGTACATAAAATTCATTCCATAGGATATAATGATTTTAAAGCGTGGGAAAATAAGATCCTTTACTATTTAGGAAAAAAAAAATTGTACATAAAATATCAAAAAAAATTTTTTACGTTAATAATAAATCTATCGATTTTAAAAGGTTCCAAAAATAAGAACCTTTTTCTCACTCCTTCCGAAAAGAAGAAGTGTGGTTAAAAGTAAAAAATATATATACGCCTTTCTTTTGGCAAAAATATTTGTCGTAAGGCATCTTTTTCGAAACTGCCTCGCCTTTATATGAAAAAAATATAAATTAACATTTTTCATGATGCAAAAACCATTCCGTGACGAAACACCACAAGTTAAAGAACATGAAGAAGGTGAATTATTTCGAGAAGAAACTGAAGCAGAATCCATCAATTTCAATAACGGTATTAGCGATGGTGTAACCAATAATAACCATGAACAAGTGGATGACATTGAACCAAATGATGAAAAATATCTTTGCCGTTTTTTCCAACGCGGCATTTGTCGTTACAATGAAGGATGTAGATATTCTCATCAAACCAATGCGCCAGTTTCGGCACCAAAATTTGGAGTTTTGTCTCACCCTCGCAGTACTACTCCTTGCCGCTTTTTTGTTAAAGGCTATTGTCGCTATGGAGATGACTGCAAATTTGCACATTAAAGTGAAAGATTTCGGTAAAGAAATGGCGGCGATCACAATATTGTCGATACATTGTCTCAAAGTGTTAAAACATTCTCAAATCCTGGAATTATTTGATAACATTTGATGATTGCTGAATTGTAGATAATTTTTGTCTAATAAATTTTGTATATATTGGATAATTATTTTCAAAGGCAGTCCAAAGTTTTTTTAAGCTCAAAATTATTTCATTATTTCACGAAAAAAAATTTTTTTTAGTCTATTGTAATTCTTGATCGATGACCGATCCCGAATATTCATAACATTCAATTATTATTATTATTATGCATAATCTTGTAGTATTGTCTTCATCTAAATTACGGATTAAAAATCATACATGATTCTAACTTTTATATATAGAATATTTTGGGCTGCCTTCTAAAATCATTACCCGTTTGTGTATGCAATAACCTGAATAAAGTATTCATCCCGTTTCTGTTCTGGCTCGGATGATGCATTAACCGCAAGATTAAATTAAGGATCGTTTCAGGACAAAAGAAAAAGTATTGTATTGAATTAATGGGGATCGGCATTATATATCGGATATGAGCGGAACTTTATCAATGGCTTATTTTAATATAAATAAGTTTAGGTATTATAACTGATCTCTTTTCGAGAAATTTATTATGTACAAATGCTGTACTATATAAAAACTATTCTAAATTCCTAGACCTGAGCGATCGGATTGAACATTTTACTTGGGGTATATCAATTTTCTTAAATCATTAGTTAACAAATTATTTTGTAACTCAAACAGGTAGGTATGTTTTTATACGCTAAACTTTCAATTATATTCGCTGATTAATTTTTACGGCAAGCAAAAAAAAAAAAAAAAATTAAGCTACATTAAAAATATGTAGTGAAATATTTTTTTTTCAGATCTCATTAGCTTATGTTGCAATGCGTTCGTGTCGTAAATCATCATAATTAGACGATAGTTGTAATACTAAGGTTAGCTACTAAAAGTAAGCGCCAAATTATTTATAAATTCATTATATTTGTTATCGATTGTTGGTGGACGGTCAGCTATAAGTATGCGAATAAGAAAGGTGACGTTAAGAT